CTGAATTTCAGTTGTGGCTTAGTGAAGACAAAGATGTGAGTTTTTCACAACACCAGTTCATGAACTCTAAGAATTCCTTCCATGGAGTCCTTGGAACTCCATAGATCCCTGGTTAATGCACCCAGAGACATTATGTCATCTGCAAGAGGAGACCTGGCATTACTGTTGGTTATGAGAAATAATTGTAGAACTGTTTAAGAGTTAAATAGTGGTTAACGAAGGGAAGTAACAATCAGTTACAGAAAGGACTTAAACACCAAGAAAAATTTAAATAAAGAATATGATTGACAAGTGAATTAAAATTTATATTCAGGCCGGCGCCGTGGCTCAATAGGCTAATCCTCCACCTTGCGGCGCCGGCACACCGGGTTCTAGTCCCGGTTGGGGCGCCGGATTCTGTCCCGGTTGCCCCTCTTCCAGGCCAGCTCTCTGCTGTGGCCAGGGAGTGCAGTGGAGGATGGCCCAGGTGCTTGGGCCCTGCACCCCATGGGAGACCAGAAAAAGCACCTGGATCCTGGCTCCTGCCATCGGATCAGCGTGGTGCGCCGGCTGCAGCGGCGGCCATTGGAGGGTGAACCAACGGCAAAGGAAGACCTTTCTCTCTCTGTCTCTCTCTCACTGTCCACTCTGCCTGTCAAAAATAAAAAAAATAAATAAATAAAATAAAATAAAAAAAAAATAAAATAAAATTTATATTCAAAAGGTGATAGGTCATTAAGAACTCGAATCAGAAGCCACAATCTAAGCTAGTAAATGTGTTAGGGATCTAGGAAGCATACTCATTAAGCAGTTTTAGAAAAAAATGTTAGATTCACCCTCCTGGCTGCATTGGTAGTCGCTAATATTTGCAAATATGAAGGAATTCTGTTCCCTGCAGTTTAATATAGGTTGCTTTCCATCTGAGAGGCATTAGGACTTTTGTCTTAGTGCAATTCGTGGACATATGTTTGGGGTTCACAATAAAAATTTTTACACATCAGAAGTGGAATAGCTGGGTCCCACGCTGTGGTGCAGCGGTTTAATGCCCTGGCCTGAAGCACCAGCATCCGATATGGGCGCCGGTTGGAGACCCGGCTGCTCCACTCTCTCTGCTGTGGCCTGGGAAAGCAGTAGAAGATGGCCCAAGTCCTGGGGCCTTTGCACCCATGTGGGAGACCTGGAAGAAGCTCCTGACTCCTGGCTTCGGATCAGCGCAGCGCTGGGCTTTGTGGCCAATTGGGTAGTGAGCCAACAGATGGAAAACCTCTCTCTCTGTTTCCCTGCCTCTCCTCTCTGTGTAACTCTGATTTTCAAATAAATAAATAAATATTTTTTTAAAAAAGTGGAATAGCACTTGCTTGAGAAAAAATAGATTCACTAATTGACTTTGGAAACACCTGGGGTAGAATAACCCCAAATATAAATATTATCAATAATAGATAACCATAACACTGTATTGCTTTTGTTTCTGCTGTTTTAAAAATTTATTTATTTATTTATTTGTAATGCAGAGCAACAGGGGAGGGGAGGAGAGAGAGAGAAAGGGAAACTTGCATCCACTAGTTCATTCTTGAAATTACCACAACAGCTGGGGCTGGACCAAGCCAAAGCCAGAAGCCTGGAACTCCATTTGGGTCTCCCAAGTGACGGAGGTCCAAGTAAGTTGACCATCTTCTGCTTTCCCTGGCACACTAGCAGGGAGCTGGATCAGAAGTGGAGCAACTGGGACTGGAACCAGCACTCTGATATGGGATCCAAGTTTCTCAGGCAGCAGTTTAACCAGCTGTTTTACAATACTGGGGCTTATTGTTTAGGAATTACTTTCATATGCATTGCTTCATAAAATTCTCAAAATTACTCGCTGATGCTCTGTAGTATACCATAGCATATGATGCCATGAAAAGCTATGAATCTCTTTACCTGCTTCTTCACGTGTTCTCCCTCCCACCTCAGTCCTTTAATTTGATTCTTAGTCGATAACATGAACTCACGAACTCGCTGGAGAGTGCTCTGGGTATAGGGGCACATGATAACCATCTCACATTTCCTCAGGATCATCCCTCAAGCCATGCGAACTCACATGCCCAGAATTCTTTCTTTAATGCCTTCCTCATAACCCAAAGAACAACAGAGCAGGAGGATGTGCAAGACTTGCTCTGAGACAACCCTATCCAGCCTATCAATGCGTGATTCTCTGTTATTCAAGCAACACTTGATGTGAGGTGGAGTTTGAAGATGATGTCCGGATATAAATGGAGCCCCCCAACATTGGAATAACAAGATGGCCCAATGAGAATCTCAAGCGAGTTACAGACCTTGAAAGTATTGATAGAAAATGCGTTCATGTGTCTCACTTTATCCATAAAGATGTTGACTATGTACTTTTTCCCGTCTCCATGAGGGTCTCACAGTTCACACTTCCGTGAGTGGTTTTCCTTCCTGAAGTACTCACAGAGCGTGGCCTCGCCATTCTGGGATCATTCCCCAGGAGTTTATCAGGCGATTATTTTAGGAGCCAGATCCTTAGCTGCCCCCTATAAACTCCTCTCTGTGGCCATACTTGTGAGTGTCTTGCAATTCCTTTGTGTCTAGCAGTCAGCCTTTGATGTTTGAAACCTTTGCTTGAGGCTATTCTCAGAGTGAACCCAAGTGTGCCAGATGAGAAGATACAAGTTTGAACAATAACACTGTCCCCACTCTCCCTCCCACACTGCTAACCGCCTCTCCCAATGCCATCCCTTGCTCCACTGCAGCAAATCCCTTGTGCACTAAGAAAAGGGGACACAGGCAGACTCGTCACCTGGATCCACATACCACTGCAACCAGTGACCTGGACGCTGAATCGGAACCAGGTGAGTTAGAAGGACTGACGCTGGGGATGCTTGGGGGAAAGGCCTAGAAAAACTACCAAGAGCTTGTTTGAATTTTTAGATAGCAGGATTAAGAAAGAGAAGTCATGCAAATCCTAGGACACAGAAGCCAAAATTTCAACTCAACATTCATGCCACTGCTCCAGCCTTTCTCCCGTCCACCAGTCAGTCTTCCACAGCATAATGCATTGAAGCAGCTCGAATCCTGGCATTCTCATCAGGTTAGGACTTTGTGACCAGGGGAAGGGTTTTTTATTTATTTTTAAAGATTTATTTTACTTATTTGAAAGTCAGTTACAGAAAGAAGTAGAGACAGAGGTTTTCCATCCGCTGGTTCACTCCCCAGATGGCCGCAATGGCCGGAGCTGCGCCGATTCGAAGGCAGGAGCCAGGAGCCTCCTCTGGGTCTCCCACGTGGGTGCAGGGGCCCAAGGACTTGGGCCATCCTCTAACTGCCTTCCTAGGCCACAGCAGAGAGCTGGATCGGAAGAGGAGCAGCTGGGATTAGAACCAGCACCCATGTGGGATGCCGGTGCTTCAGGCCAGGGCTTTAACCCGCTGCGCCACAGTGCTGGCCCCCAGGGGAAGGGTTTTACACACGAGAAAGTATCTGTCCTGGTTCTGTGTCTTATGTAAGGACTCTACACCTTCAGAAGTGCTGTCGCATACATGTTTTCTCACTGGATGCTCGCAGATCTGTGATGGAGCTCTTACAAGCACTGGGCCCATTTAAGAACACTCTTGCTCAGAGCTTAAATGAGGTTTGGGTAGGGCCAGGTGCACTCCTCATGGTAAATGAGGACAGAGGGCTGGCTTAAAGGGGAGACCTTTTCAGGCAATTCAACTCCCTCTGCCATGACCAGAGTGGTTAGTCTCAACACTTGCTCGCCCAGAGCGGTGCCTCAGCGCTGGGGTTCTTTGTTGATGGCGTTCCTGACCAGCCTGGGCTGGGACTTCAGAGAACAAAAGCCTCCTGCCGAGGCAATCTCTCCCAGGTGGTCACTCACCGTCTACATTCCCTTAGTCGGTGGCAACCCTCGCCACTATCTTGACATAATTTTTTTAAAGATTTATTTTTATTCATTTGAAAGACAGAGTTACAGAGAGAGGTAAAGACAGAGAGAGAGGGGTCTTCCATCCGCTGGTTCACTCCCCAAATGGCTGCAACCGCCGGAGCTGAGCCGATCTGAAGTCAGGAGCCAGGAGCTTCTTCCAGGTCTCCCATGTGGGCAGGGGTCCAAGGACTTGGGCCATCTTCTACTGCTTTCCCAGGCCATAGCAGAGAGAGCTGGATCAGAAGTGGAGCAGCCAGGACTAGAACCGGTGCCCATATGGGATGCCAGCACTGTAGACGGCGGCTTTACCTGCTACTGCACAATGCTAGCCCCTAGATTTCTTTTAAAATGAGACATTTATCTCATTTTTTAAAAAGATTTATTTGTTTATTTGAAAAAGTTACTTACACAGAGAGAAGGAAAGGCAGAGAGAGAGAGAATCTTCCATCTGCTGGTTCACTCCCCAGTTGGCCACAACAGCTAGAGCTGTGCCAATCCAAAGGCTGGAGCTAGGAGCTTCTTCCGGGTCTCCCATGTGGGTGCAAGGGCCCAAGGACTTGGGCCATCTTCTACTGCTTTCCCAGGCCATAGCAGAGAGCTGGATCAGAAGTGGAGCAGCCAGGACTAGAACCAGTGCCCAAATGGGATGCCAGCACTGCAGGCAGCGGCTTTAACCTGCTCTGCCACAGCGCTGGCCCCTTGACATATCTTTATGTCCATTTTCTCTGCACAGATGGTCTCCTGAGAGTTTATCTGGTAAAAAGAAGCTGGACAGAGGTTTTTTATTTTTTTTATTTTTTAGGTTGGATGGAAGACAGGATAGACAGGAGATGGCTAGAATTCACAAAATAAATCTCATCTATTTTCCCAACTTTGTGCTTGGCTCACTCAGGCTACAACACACTTTTAGTTCTGATGGTCTTTATCAGCTGGTGAGAGTTATCATGTGGCCTGTTAGCCTACCAGCACAATGAAGGCCAAGTGCCTGCAGTGACAAGAAAAAGTATTTTAAGATGGAGCTCAGCTGTCAAGGCAGTGCTTCAGTAATGCTTTCCTCTCTTTCCCCTGTGGGAACACAGGTGCCCCTGAGACTGGCATGTCCTCTCCAAAGGTCTGGGTCACTTTTCTTACCCTGGCGTGCCTCCAGTGCAGGATGCTTGCACACAGCAGTGACATGTCCAAGAGCCAATTCATGAAAGAACACTTCCTCAGTACGAACTGGAACTTCGACACGTACAAGTGTGATGCTGTCATGGTAGGAAGACGAATTCTGAAAGACCAGAGCTCTCATGTGTTCGTCTATATCTCATGGTACCAACTTGAACATTTGTGTGTTCGTAACCATTGGAATGACCGCCACAGGAATGCATACGTGTGGACCCAGAGTCCCATCAAAGTACTCACGTGTTACCGGGAGCATTTCAAAAATAGCTACACAGAGAGCAAGAGCTTCAACTATGTTGAATTCCATTGTAACATGAATGGCTATGTTAATGCCATAGAGGACATGAAGATGATAGAAGTTATCGACAACTAGAATGTCTGCCTTTCCCCTGGATTTTGGTAGAGTATTCAGTATTTCCCAGTGATGGGCCCTGCCTACCCAAATAACTTCTGCCTCTCCCCACTTTGTATTTTTATGTCAATATTTTCCAATAACTTCAAGTTATGCATACCATGGTTGTTTTTTGTTTTGGTTTGTTGTTGTTGTTGTTGTTGTTGTTGTTGTTTTGACAGGCAGGGTGGACAGTGAGAGAGAGAGAGACAGAGAGAAAGGTCTTCCTTTGCCATTGGTTCACCCTCCAATGGCCACCGCGGCCGGCGCACTGCGCTGATCCAATGGCAGGAGCCAGGTACTTATCCTGGTCTCCCATGGGGTACAGGGCCCAAGGACTTGGGCCATCCTCCACTGTACTCCCGGGCCACAGCAGAGAGCTGGCCTGGAAGAGGGGCAACCGGGACAGAATCCGGTGCCCCGACCAGGATTAGAACCCAGTGTGCGGGCGCCGCTAGGCGGAGGATTAGCCTGTTGAGCCGCGGCACCGGCCACCATGGTTTCTTAATAGTCTAACTTTGCTTATGTTGTTTCTCTGCCTAGAATCTCTTTTGTCATCTACTTAATTTATTCCTACAGTTTTTCAAGAGTCAGTTCATATGGCATATTTTATTGACTAACCCAGGATTTTCCCAGATATTGACATCTTTATATCTGTTCAAAAAGAATGATTTTTCCTTCCCAAAATAAATTGTACAATTCCAATATGTGTGACTTTATATATGTTATATATGCACAATATGTGTTGGATGTTTAGTATGGTTAGTATGGATATATGTGGTAGACTACACTTGGCTATAATTTGTGTTGTGGATATGTGTAAGGTGTATTTTATGTGTGTGTCTAATGTATGTGATATGTTTATATGTGTGGTGGGGGTGTAAATGTTTATGTGCTAACTAGAAGACAAGTCATGACAAGCCTTGATTGTGTTGGCAGCTTAGCTCCACTGAGAATGAATATGAAATATAGTTCCCTACTCATAGCAGGCACTCAATGAAGTATTTTATTTTTTCATTTTCAACCTTTGACTCAATACAGTAGTTTTCACTTTGATAAAACAAATGGTGATAAGTACCATTGATCATTTGCTCTCCCCGACTCTAGAAGATGGAGATTTCTTATATAAAAATACATGCATTGTCATTTGTGTGGAAGCTATAAATGCCTAGGATTTAAAAAAAAATCGTAGGCAGGCATTTGGTACAATTAAGTCACCAGCTATGACACGTACATCCTCTATCAGGTTCCAGTCCTGGCTCCTGTGCTGCGGATCCACGTTCCTGGTTGTGTGCAGCGCGCATGGCTTCAGTGCTTTGGTCCCTGCCTCCCAGGCAGGAGACCAGAATTGAACTCAAGGTCCCTGCCTTCAGCCTGGCTCAGCCCTGGATACTGTGAGCCTTTGGGGAGGGGACCAGCAGATAGAAGCTCGCTCTCTGTCTTCCTCACTCTTTCAAATAAAATGAAAATAAATAACTAAAATAAAATATCTGCCTTGTTTAAAAAGAGAAATTCATCCTCTATCAAGCACAGGCAGACAGACTTCCCTGCGGGGCTCTTTCATTGCATTTTAGGTAGATGAAGATCTTGTGTTTACTAGAACTGCACTTTTAGTAGAAGGTAGTGCAAATGAGTTTATCTGACAATAACCATGTATACTTAGCAGTGTTGACAAACCTTAAAATGCCACACTCCTCAAAAAAGGGGCTTAAGACTTAAATTTTGTTGGAGGGAAGTAAATAGAACAAGAAAATGTTGGGGAAAGCAGCTGCAAGAATTCTTTTGGTTAAGGGGGAAGAATTCTTTTTGTTAAGCAGGGAGAAAAGAGACAGACAAGAAATATTTGTTTCATGCACTTTTGCCGGCAACAGGTATAAGGATAAGAGTGCTAATAATAAAAGCACTGTTCTTGAGCCTCTGCAATGTTGGGTGACTCCGGCCTTGAAGCATTAGAGAAAACATAAGATATCAACATTCTCAGTCAAATGTCTGAACATCTTCCAGAACTCTGACCTCAGTGAACAGCCAGTGTATCTCGATTGATCATGTTCCAAAGTAAGTTGCTCCACTTTGTAATTTTCAGTGAACCTAGAATTAGCAAACACCTGGAGGACAGTGACCTGGACGACAGTGACCTGGACCAAATAAACTCACAGGAGACCAGTTTTAAACCAACACTTATTCATCAATGGCTGATTCAATGTGGAGAATAAGGATTCCTTTTCTCACGTGATAAATTTCTCCTTAAAATACCACATTGACCAGCGCCGTGGCTCACTTGGCTAATCCTCCTTCTGCGGCGCTGGCACCCTGGGTTCTAGTCCCGGTCGGGGCGCCGGATTCTGTCCCGGTTGCTTCTCTTCCAGTCCAGCTCTCTGCTGTGGCCAGGGAGTGCAGTGGAGAATGGCCTACGTGCTTGGTTCCTGCACCCGCATGGGAGACCAGGAGGGGGCATCTGGCTCCTGGCTTCGGATTGGCGCAGTGCACTGGCTGTAGCGGACATTTAGGGGGTGAAACAATGGAAGGAAGACCTTTCTCTCTGTCTCTCTCTCTCTCTCACTGTCTAACTCTGTCTGCCAAAAAAAAAAAAAAAAAAAAAAAGAATACCACATTAGTTCCTTGGCTGGACTCCTGTAACTAAAGTCAGATTAATGAGAAAAAACAAAGTTTAGTTACACATTATCTCTTACATATATGGGAGAAAGTCAAGAATGAGTAACTCAAAAAGGTGGCTAGAACTTGGGCTTATGCACTGTGGAAGCTCAGAAAAATCACACCCCAAAAATTGGTGCTTTGGCATTGAGTACTTTGAACTTCGGAGAACCAAAGTCTTTCTGATCTTTTCCTGTCCCTCTCTCTCACCTCATGTTCCCTTCTAAAGCACAGAGAGAGGATTGGAATTGTCATGGACACGTTTTCTGGTTTCATATCAAACAAAAGATTAACTCATAGGAAAAGGAGAGCAAAGATCTAATAATATTTCACCCAGTGACACTTTACCACTTTACCACAAGTAGCCATCTGTTCGTGGGAGGACTACTACTCGAGAAATTTTATTTGCAGAGCAGATTTGCCTTTTATTCTCCATGAATTACATCCCTTCAACCTCCTATAGCTTCTTCTTCTTCTTTTTTTTTTTTTTTTGGTCTTCTTTTTCTGTTGGTTCACCCCCTAACTGGCCGCTATAGCCGGCGCACTGCACTGTTCCGAAGCCAGGAGCCAGGAGCCAGGTGCTTCTCCTGGTCTCCCATGGGGTGCAGGGCCCAAGGACTTAGGCCACCCTCCACTGCACTCCCGGGCCACGCAGAGAGCTGGACTGGAAGAGGAGCAACCGGGACAGAATCCGGCGCCCCGACCGGGACTAGAACCCCGTGTGCCGGCGCTGCAGTCGGAGGATTAGCCTAGTGAGCCATGGCACCGGCCAATATCCTATAGCTTCTTACTGCCTCCCTCAGAATCCCAAGTCCCTTTTCCTTTCTGTAGCTCAGAATATTATTTAAACTTCCACAGTCTGGCCCTTCTTTGAGTCGCATATTTGGCAGGGCTTCCATGCACAGGCAGGTAAATAAACTTGCATGCCTTTTCTCCTGTTAGTCTTTTATCAATTTCCTCAAATTTTGAAACTTCAGAGGGTGATGGGGAAGCATCTTGAGCCCCTATAATTTAATCTTCCACTAAAACAAAGGACAAGAGTGTGGTGAGGCAAGCTCTAGGGAGACGACCAGGAAAAGTGTGGAAGAACCGTAGAAAGATTTGTTATCTAGATTTAAGTCAGTGCCTTTTCCAGAGGTAAGGGTCCCATGATTTAAACTAGTGCTTCTCTTCCTGGATGGAGAGGGAGACACCTACATGAAAATGAAGTGTCTCCTCTGAAGGGAGGAGAGAACTTCCACTTTGACTATGACCCTGTCGGAATAAGATCAAAGTCGGTGAACTCAAAAGGCTTCCATAGCCTTGGCAACTCATGACTAGAGCCTAGGGAGATTACTGATGCCATAAACAGGAGTGTCAAATTGTTAAGTCAACAACAGGAGTCACTGTGTACTTACTTCTCATGTGGGATCTGTCCTTAGTGTGTTGTCCAATGTGAAGTAATGCTATAACTAGTACTGAAACAGTATTTTACACTTTGTGTTTCTGTGTGGGTGCAAACTGATGAAATCTTTACTTAATATATACTAAATTGATCTTCTATATATAAAGAGAATTGAAAATGAATCTTGATGTGAATGGAATGGGAGAGGGAGCGGGAGATGGGAGGGGTGTGAGTGGGAGGGAAATTATGGGGGGGAGGAAGCCATTGTAATCCATAAACTGTACTTTAAAAATTTAGATTTACTAAATTAAAAAAATGAAAAAAAGTTCATGAAAAAAAAAAAGAAAATGAAATGTCTCTATAAACGTAAATTTCCTTTATAAAACTGTAACTTAATACTCTACTTTCAGAGCTTCTCTTGGGTTTGCTGTTTTTCAAAGGAGTTAATTCAAAATAATCTCTTTGTCAAAGAAGGCTATTTGAGGGTGGCATTTTCTTGTCTATTGTCGCTGTTGGTAGCCTTTCACCAATACCTCATTTGAGAAACCCATTTTTTAAAGTCTTTTTTTTAGCTTTTAATTTAGTGAGAGAAATGCATAGGGGAGTGAGGGCTTAATCTAAGGGAAAAAGCAAAGTCTAGAAACTAAGTCGGGGTCCACACAGAGCAGAGAGCAGGCCAGGAGCCACGTGCAGTGAGTGTTTGGTTATGAGCAGCCACAGGCAGCTTAGCAGGAGCAGTGAAGCGAAGGCGGAGAGAGTAGGCCAGGGCAGCCGTGTGCAGCAAGCACGTAGGCGGGGGAGCAGGGAGCGGCGGCCTGAGGCCACACGCCCTGAAGACACGGGCAGCGAGGGCAATATGGCGAAAAGGCAAGAGACTCTTTAAATGTTCCTCTCATTATGATCAATTGTGAACTGAAATTGATCACTTGGAGTAGTGAGATGGCAT